TAAAACTCGTAAGGCAAGATACGGTGCGCTATTGACACCGTACGTAACGCGAGTAAGACGATAGTCCTGAACAGGTAAATTTGGTGAAAAACGCCACAGAATTCGTTGATAATCACAGTGTTGAGTATCAAGATCATTCTGTACATTTGTTTAATGTCGGCACAAATAGCCCAGGGATGAAGGCGGAAATTTAATAAGATATTCACAATATCTTGTTGGAGTTTCGGTCCAACATATAAATGATCATTAAGCGATTTTTGATTAGGCAAGCGTGCGGAGGCATTAAAGACAACCCTAAGTTTAGTCGAGCTACTATTGGGCTTGATTACATAATGATGAGGGATATAATAAGAACAAATAGGAATAGATCGATTAGAAACCTCTTCCATATGGCCAAGATCCAGGTATTCTTTTAAAAAGGCAGAATAGTCTAAGTATAGGTCTTTATTTTTCAATAGACGACGCTCTAAAGAGTAAAAATTGCTTAGTGCAAGATCTCTGCTGCCAACGAAAGATGTAGGTAGCAATTTATATTTAAATGGTAAAGAGACGATGTAGCGACCCTCATCGTTACGAGAATAAGTATCAAGAAAAATATTCTCACAGATTTCATCATCGTTAGAAGCAATAGATGTTTCAGGTACCTTTTCAGTTTCCCAAAATTTTGAAATGGTTTGATCCAGTATCGTACAGTCCGAAGATTGGCAAAAAAAGGCTGAGGTAGACAAATTAGCGGGGGATGATATTTTTCCAAGAACAACATAGCCAAAGATTGTATTTAGAGCGTCCGGCTCAGATTGTTTTCCTGAAATATGCCCATTTAACAAAATTTTCGAAAAAACGTCCGCTCCCAACAGTAAGTCTACCGTACCTGGTTTAAAGAAGTTCGGATCTGCAAAATTTAAATTGGACAAGTGTTGCCAATTTGAGGTTGTGATAGCGGAATCGGGCAACTGGTCACAAATATTATCAACAATAACAGCGTCTAAAAATAATTTAGGTTCAGACTTATTAAAGGGCTTGCAAATTAACGCAACACGAGCGGTATCAAGAGAGGTTGACATTGAGTCTAAACCCTTTATTTCAATGGAGAAGGCGGATTTAAAAAGACCTAAGCTATGAGCTGCCTTTTTTGTAATGAAGGACGTCATACTTCCTGAGTCCAACATACAGCGGTATGAGCGAAAATTACCCTTACTATCAGACACATCAATGATAGCAGTGGCTAGAAGAACTTTGTGTCGATGTGATAATTCTCCTTGAGCATTAAGAACGATAGCAGCATTACTTAAGGTATTATTAACATTTGAAAAAGCGGTAGAAGTCGACGGATGCACGGGTTGTGGAGTATGCGAATTTCTGGCAAAGGCGGGGGATCGATCAAAATGAAGTAAACTGTGGTGAGTCTTTGATGAGCAATGACGATAATGTTGTGTGCTCCGACATGACCTCAAGTCATGAGAGCTACTAAGGCAATTATAACACAGGCGATTCGATTTACAAAAGGCATGTCGTTCAGATGGAGACTTTGCAACAAAATTTTCACACCTATAAAGCGAATGATCTTTTTTACATAAGAGACAGGTCAAATTAGGCGATTTAGTATTGGCAAACATAGAGCGAGTACGTGGAGGAAAATTTTTCAATTTGTGATTGGAATTAATTTGCGGTAAAACTTCAATTGCAGCAATCTCATCAGCGTTGTCATAAGCTAAGCAATGTTCAGATAAAAACTGAAGCAAATCGTTGTAAGTAGGCACGACAGATGAACGGTGTTTGAGTTCAAAACGCAATTTAGTATCGTGATCCAATCTTTTTAAGAGCATCATTGTTAAGACAAAGTCCCACTGTTTTACTGGAAAACCTAAAACCTCGAGAGCAGATAAGTTTTCCTTAAATGTATTTAGTAATTTTTCTAATGCTTCTGGTTTATTTGGGTCAATTTTGACAGTAGAATCAATTTCATTCCAATGGACTTGAGCACATTTTCTAGGATTTATATAGCAGTCTAATAAAATATCGTAAGCAATTTGATAATTAGCGGCAATTAAAGGAATATGACGAATAAGATAATAAGGTTTACCTTCTAATGACGCAACTAAATAATCAAACTTTTCTATGTCTGACAAATGTGTTTTATTATGTACCAAATTATTAAAATGGTCCAAAAAAGATCGAAAGTTTTTAAAGTCCCCATTAAATTTCTTAAGTTCGATTTTTGGCATTCGTACATGTGAATGATCCTGCATAATAACGGTAGAATTAGCGGCAACATTAGCATGAGTCAGATTATGCGTTTCATTATCAAATAATTCGGCAAAAACGGCTTTAATTTTATAATATTCAGATAAGAACCCCTCTTTAGTTACATCTTCCACCCCAGCATCTTCCGGAATACTAAAGAGTACAGTTAGAATATTATTATGTTGTTTCATAAAATCATCTTTTATTGCATCTAAATCAGTGCAACGTACGCGAAAAAGACTGCGAACTGCTTTGTCTGTTCTAACTTTATCAGCAAGCAAACTAATAACATTAATTTCATTTAAAGCAGACGATCTCAAAGTTTTGTATTTAGCGATTTTTTCAGCCATTCTAAATCAAAAATATTTAACTCGAATTCTAATTCACAAAAACAAATTAATCTAGCCAAAGCGAGCGTACTTTTAAATAATAAAATCTACGAAATCAGGTAAACGAAAAACACTACAAGCGGTTTAAAATTTACAGTGAAGTGAGTAAATCGAAAAATTCCGTACAGAGCGCAATCGACGATGTCCAATAATTGTAAAATAGATAAAGTGCGAGGCAGATACAAATATATTGATAGATGGACAGCGGTGAGGCAAATGGCAATAATGGGCGTATACAGCTTAATTCTGGGATATGCGCAATTGAGACGGTGACACAAAGGTCGAGAATCGAAAAATAAATGTAATCTCGTTTTACGATCTAACAAAAAGTAAAATATGTCTATTAAAATATTCACCTTTTGACCAATAATAAAATTATTATCCCTGAATAATTTAAATTTTAAGCAATACTTATTATTATTTTTATTAAGTATTATAATATCTTTTCTGCGTTAATAATTTGAAGCTAGATGCGATATACTCCAAGCGAGTATATATAAAAAACAAAAAAAAAGTGAAAATAAAAGAAAATCGAATTTTATACGTTATAATTACTTTAAATCGTTTTAATTATTTAAACAAAAGGCAAGAAGGACCAAATGAAACAGAACGGATGTTATGCTGCCAAAAAGGGCTGATTCAAGTAATCAAACTAAATAAATTAATAACGTATTTGACACCTTACCTTTTGGAATATTGGACTGATCGGCGAGCGGCACACATGAAGCAAAAAGGCACAAATATTAAGCGACGGCGAACGAACTTGTTACTTTGTTGGCGATGCATCGATGTCTCCTCATTCTTTGAAAAGGTCCAAAGCATGAACCGTTTAGGTGGGGCAAAGTGTCAAAATAGATAACGCGAATTTAAATTAAGAAATTAATAAAGAAAATAAATCCATTCTCGAACAGTCCATTTTAGAAAAATTATATATATGACCAAAAGTATAGAGAATAACATCACAAACAACTTTTATAAAAATAATTTTCTTCTATAAACAATTATAAGAGCAATACACCTTAAAGTAGAAAAACATACTATTAAAAGTACTTACGGCAATATTTTGATAGGTAACCTAGCAAAAATTATCTATAAAAGTTGGACTTTGAATTAAAAACATATGAGTGCATAAATCGCACAATTGGGTCTTAGACTATAAGCATACTTTATTTATTAGAACATGGACCACTGAATTGACACCTACTGTGGCATTTTCCCGTGCCTTAAAACCAAGACATTTGTTTGTACAGCATTAAACTTTACTAGGTTTTCACTGACTTTCTTTAAACCCTTGTACTCCAAATTAAAAACCCTTAGAAATAGCTTCCCTTAGCGAAAAACTGATATTTTCCGGATATAAGTTTGACGTACCAACTGAGTTAAGTTGGTCTCCAGAAAACCGTAGATTTAAAGCCCATATTCAGTTCCTATCTAGTATACTCCATTTCGTACGTCAATAATAGTTTTTAACACAGCTTTAGTATCAAGCGGCCCCTGGCAAATTTTGAAATTTTATAAAAACATGCTCCCCCACCTACAAATCTTTCCTTTTTTTTTGTGTGTTTTGGATCATTTGGTCAACTACACGTTTTTGGTCTATTTTACTTTTTTTTTACAGCAACAATTACAATACGAATTCGATGACCTAACCGGTCAGGGAATGCGATCGGTGAAGATGGATTTCTATTTAAATACAAAGAAAGCTTTCAATCCAATATATTTTTATATTTCAAATTTACATCAAAATTAATCTGACAATAACCGACAAAATTAAAAATCTAGTAAACTAAAAATTATACAGAGTAGTATCAACAAATAAAAATACATGGTAATTCGTAACACATTACACTTCCATGTAATTTTATCACTTGCTGCGAAATTACACATTGTACATGTAGTTTGTTCTTTATTGTATTTTTTATTTTCTGCATTTTCATTTATACCGTTGTTATCATCCTTAATTAAATTGTTCATGTCGAAAATCGGCAGTGTTTCACAAGACGACTGAAACTCCCTTTCCCGCCGAAATGTCAAACTTAAATATTTGACAATCTGGCCGTGAGTTAACCGTCTTTTTATAAAACGCCTAGTCATTTTATAATCCGGCTAGTCAGATAGTAAAATAATAAAAGGTAAACGAAAATTTGACAATTTGGCCGCTATTTATAAAACGTCTAGGCAATTTATAAAACGACGGCTTTTGTAATCTGGCTACAACACATATACGAGAAGAGGCCTGCAAGGTCTGCGTAGAAGAAGAAAAGACCACAACCACAGAGCGATCGATATTATTGTTGAAGAATTAAGCTTACACAATGTTAATTTACAATACAAAACGAAAACTTTTTTATAAGATTTTTAACGTACTTGGTGAAATCCAGAAACATGCGTAACATCAACTCCCAATTTTGCCATACAAATTCCTAAATACATATCATCGGGAGTTGTCAACGATGGACAGATACAATTGTTGGCGAGCAGTGTTAAAAGATATCTACTGAAAACCATTCCTCCACCCCCAGTTATGTAATTGTAACCAAGATGATCTCGTAGTTCGAAACCATACCTTTCTCCTAAACACAGTTTTTCGTTGTAGTCGTAACAGGACAAGAGACGCCGAAGATTGTTTACTCTGAAAATAAAATATTTTATTAAATTAGTTTATCTATAGGCATAGAATAGATAAACAACACAAAAAGGAAAGTAACGGTCGCTGTTTTGAAGTAAATGGGATAGACCACAGACATCGATAAAGGAGATAGGAAATGTCAGTTTCATCAGGCACGTAGAATTGAAGGCGGCCATCTTTACAAAAAAAGCGACCTACGCACTTGCGCATTGATTGCATATTGAAGTGTACAGGATAGGACTAACACATTTAAACATAATTCGAAAATATTAAGGATTTACTTACACAGTAGAACTAATAACCTTAAAAACTCGTAATAGAATTTTAATTTTCTTTTTTTGTGGATTTTAAGAGATTTCTAAAAATAAAAAACATCATAGTCTTTTTTGAAACTTTATTTTAAATTAAATAAAAACAGAATATATTTAAAATACAATTTTATATGAAATTAATACAACAATCTAAGGCCGTCATACATTTTGTAGCAAATAAATCTGGAATCACGTGATTTAAACAAAACTTTCATATTAAAAACTGTAATTTTGTATGTAATTATTACATGTGATTGCTCAGATCTTGAAAGTATTTCATTTTATATAAAAACTACAAAACTAAGGAATTCAAAAATATTTGTAATATCGTTCCACAGTACTATGACATGCACTTGAGCATACATTAAGAATCATCAATCAAAATAAATAAGATAATTATGGGCATATTCCTACTAAAGAATAGAGTAAATTTAAAACTAGGTATTATAAGAAGCATGTAGTCAAATATTTTATTAAAAAAGGGAAATAAATCCAAACTTAAACGTTTTCCTTCAAAAAACAACTACTTCTTTGGCTAATTCCGCAGCAGACATTGAATTATATCCAAAGAAAACAACAAAGTTAAAAAATTATTTTTCAATATTCAAACTTTGTTCTTGCTTACCATAGATAACGTTATTCTTGGACCGGTTTTGTCCTTATTAGGACTCATCAGCAAGAAATATACATTCTTGATTTCGGTCACTAAAGGAATCTGAAAAGGCGGTAAATTCACCCGCTTACATAGACGGAGGTTGTGAGAAGCTTCGATTTTTTATCTTGTGTAATAAATACTACAGTAAATATATGTTAATATTGTGTTATTAAACATAAAACATTTATATTACATTAGAAAATGACACTAATAAATTATAAATAAAAAAAAGCTATTTAATAAAAGTTAATAAGGAACAAAAATACAAATTTAGTTTTTTAAATTTTCATTGATATTTGAACAATGTCTTTAATGTTTTTATTAATCTTGATATGTGATTTTCCTATAAGGGTAGATACTCTTTAGATAATTATAATTATTGATTTCTCGAAACAAGTTTTTATTTTAAACTAATTGAAAATTAACATTTTTTAGCAGGTAATTGATTATGTGATTAAAAATACTTTTTTTTTAAGATAATTCGACAGTTTTACACTAGTACTTACAGCCGAAACTGTTTTATATTACCCTATTTTGTCCTAAAAAATAATTTTCAATAATTTTTATTAGCTGTTGCGCTAGAAAGTGTATCTTGGCGAGCAGAATATTTTATCTTTTTTTTTGCAATATAAACAATGTTTTCTGAAATATCTAACGACTTAATTACATTCTGTATAATACAATACAATAATTTAACTTTTTCATCCTGGCTCCAGGAAAAAGGTATGGAACACAATGCCATTGAATAGAGAGAAATAAAATAATACGAATGAGTGTGGACCGCAACAGCCCATGCTTGCCATCGAAAGGGTATGGTAAAATCAATTACTATCTTTATCACTCTCACATCCAAATACAATTAAGCGTCTCATCTTTATTACGCCTGATGCGTCGGCTTAAGATACCGTACATTTTTTGACTATATTTAAATAAATAAATAATGTTTATTGAGCAACTATAAATACATTAGTGTCTCAAAATGAATGAATTCGGCTGAGCCGTTTTTTAATTGATCCTTATTATAACAGAAAAAATGTTCACAAAATAATTATTTTAAATTAAATCATTGTCTTGAAATAAGAACTTGCCTAATAGTTTTAACAAAATGATTAAAATTCAAATTATTAAGTCCTGAATTCAACAATAATGGTGCTACGTATCTAAAACAACCTTGGAATTTTGAAGTTCTATGCATTGGGGTTGTAAAAGTGTTCACTCTTAAATTTACATTGTGTAAAGTTGATCTTTTTAGTAAGATATCGTGGAATTTTAAACATTAAAAAAAGATATTTTACGCTTTCCTAAATTTTATATTTATTTAACCTGCGAATGTAAGGAGAAACATGATTTCTATAAGGAATATTACAAGTACATCTTATACAAGAATTTTGAATCTTCTGAAGTTTCTCTCAGTTATATTTAGTAAGAGTAGTAATAAACTATAAGCACTGTTGTTGTACTTTTGTAAATTTGTAAAATGTTGATGGGGTCCTAAAGAATACAATAGCCATTAAGATTCTTAATGTCATGGTACAGAAGTAATCGTAGTCTATATGAATGGAAATTTTTTACAGATAAAGGATTATTGTTCCATCCATACCTAGCCCTAGAAATAAAATGTAATTGCATCATACAATTAAACTAATACTATTCCATATACTGCAGAAAAATATCTCTAAGTGATCTGTACTAAGTTTATATATTAACAGTTTACATATTTGTCATATAAACCTATTACAAACTTTATAAAACAAAGTCTAGAACACCACTATTCTTCTTCGGTCACTGAATAACATAACTGCTGTCAAAGGTTTTAAGTTTCTTTATACATTCTGTTGCAGCTTATATTTCAGACATCCATATAGTCTCCGTTTTTTGAGACAAAGGCATTTTCCATTGAAATCTAAAAAGATTTCGAGAATTTAGTAAATAGAACAGTTTCTCAAATTTCCTTACACAATTAATAGTAATGTTACTTAGTATTTGTAATTTCTAAATTCGTTTAAGTGTACAAACCTTCATGTCTTTCTCCAATCCATATGGGGCACTCTTAATTTGCTACCCAAACGTAAACCTTCTGTTTGTTAAATATAATGTAACAATTTTATATAATTAAAATCAATAATTTCGCCATTAGTTTCGACAATTTTAGTAAGGTTATCCCAGTTATTCCAAGCCAACTTAAGTATGTGACATGCATCTAAATTTATAAAAAATGTACTTTTATCTATGGTGAATGCAAGAAATATGGAGTCGCAGTGTCAATATCAAAGTTGTATAGGTTTACACCTAATGTTATCCATCAAATGATAATTAAGTGATGATAACTTCATATTCATGCAATTTTAGAAGAGCCTATAACGCCACATTTCTTCTTTCATTACCATCTAAACCGTTAATAAAAAATAACCAACTGGCAACTTCTATAATTCCTCGTTAGATTCTGAATTAATAATATTCGTTCAAGCTGAAGGTTGTAAATTTCTAAAAATAATAGGGATAATTAACAATTTTTTATCACTTTCTTAAAAAGTATAAAAAGAAACAAATTGATAATTTTATGTATATATTTACCTCATAACACTAATGTTATAAAAATCTTCAATTTTAGGCATATTTATGGAAGGTATTGCATTATTTTTTTATTGTATCTATTCGTTTTGAAACTATTAAATCATCTTTATGACAATGGGAGGAACAAATAGCGTTATTTGCACTTATATTTTCCAATGATTTCTTCCAATAGCTATTAACCAAGAAGCATACGCCTTTTTCTCAATCTAAAAAAATTATAGTAATATCAACGTTAGATACCTACATACAGTTTGTTATTGTACTATGATATTTCGTTTTCTAGAAAATGAAACTATGGTGAAGAATACGGTTCTGGTAGAAATGATGTCTTACTTGTGGAATGTAATGTTTTCTGAATCCTCGTTGTTTAAACTACCAAAAACAAAGCAAGTCTTTCCCATTTTATTAATTGTCTATAGTAAAAACTTCTAAAATTCTTTTAAATTCACTAAAATAGCGAATTTCGAAAGAAACCAAGAATAGTTGACATAAATGACACTTCTGTCAAAACACTACAACAACTGCGCATGTGCGTTGTACGCTTAAATTGCCAACATGGCGGCCTACATGGTGTGATTATTTTGAAACACCGGGGAAAACGGCCTTTTCCTATCTCCTCTATCCAAATCTGTGGGATAGACATATCTGACCTTTAGTGTCACCACAGAGATAACCTAAAAAAAACTGGCTACAGTGTATTGGATTTTGGCCGTAGCCCTGTTTCCCTTTTATGTTATTCATATATTCTGTATCGTAGCTAAAATTAGTTTGACAGTATATTGAATTTTTCAGATACCTAGCTGTAGTCCAGGCAACGTAAAGGTATAGAGGGAAATGTTTCGAACACAATTTTTGACTTCGTAACTTTGTTTGGAGTAGTTAAGAGGTAAACATATCAAAAGTCTCCGCCCGTAGCCTTTCAGCCGGGGGGAGGAGGGGTCTGAAGGTTCCATTTTTTGAGTTTTTGCTTATATCTCGGAAACTATGCATTATATAAAATGAAAGCTTATTAAATTTGCTAAAAGTTTTGTTTAGTCAAGTTTTTCGATATCTTGTATAGTTTTTGATATATCAGCTCTTGAAAGTCTGTAATTTTAGAAAAAAACATTTTTGTCTCACATATCTGGTTTTCTTTGGCCGGATAACTCTTCAACGTTGCATCCAAAAGAATAAAATAAATGCCGATCTTAGGGTTGTAGAGAATTAAATTCCCTTCAATAATATATATTACTTTACTATTTTATCTATTTTTCTTCAAATGCTGAAGCAATTTCAAAATGGAGCGTGAAATCTGAAGTTGTTAATGAATATTACAATTTCTCACTATTCCCAGCACATACTTTGTCGTTGAAATGTCTAATTAAATCGCATGCAACCTTAGACTAGGTGTCTAAGCATGCGAAAGTTCACAGGACAGAGCACCTATTCTTTTGACTAAAAACAACACGCCAATGTTAGTCTTT